TTGATGATTCCTGGGGGACTGATTTGGACGAAGTAAGGTCTATAACTAAAAAGTTTCAAAATATGAAAGCTCCAGGTGATGATGCAATTTTCTATATCCTCATCAAAAAACTCCCAGAGAGTACCTTGTCTTTCTTGGTAAAATTATTTAACAGATGTTTCCATTTGGCATACTTTCCTGATAAATGGAAAAATGCAAAAGTTGTTCCAATTTTGAAGCCGGATAAAAATCCAGCTGAAGCTTCTAGCTACCGCCCAATAAGTTTGCTTTCTTCAATAAGTAAACTTTTTGAAAAGATAATTTTGAATAGAATGATGCTTCACATCAATACGAACTCAATTTTTGCAGATGAGCAGTTTGGATTTCGCCATGGGCATTCAACTACTCATCAACTCTTAAGAGTTAACAATTTAATTCGTTCAAACAAATCTGAAGGCCACTCAACTGGAGTTGCTCTTCTAGACATAGAAAAAGCATTCGACAGTGTTTGGCATGAAGGTTTGATTGCTAAATTGAAAAAGTTTAATTTTCCACTTTATATTATGAAATTAGTTCAAAATTATTTAACTGACAGAACTCTGCAGGTAAATTGTCAAAATTCCAAATCTAATCGACTACCTGTTAGAGCAGGAGTTCCTCAGGGTAGCATTCTTGGGCCTATATTGTATAACATTTTCACTTCGGACCTCCCTGATTTGCCTCAGGGTTGCCACAAATCTTTGTTCGCTGATGACACAGGCATTTCCGCTCAAGGAAGAAGTCTTCGTGTTATTTGCAGCAGACTGCAGAAAAGTTTAGATATTTTCTCTTCTTATTTACAAAAATGGAAGATTTCTCCCAACGCTTCCAAAACTCAACTTATAATATTTCCACATAAGCCTAGAGCTTCGTTTTTGAAACCTAGTAGTAGTCACATAGTCACTATGAACGGAGTTCCAATTTCCTGGTCAAACCAAGTGAAATATGTTGAATTAATACTGGACCAAAAATTAACTTTTAAAGATCACATTGAGGGCATTCAAGCCAAATGTAACAAATATATAAAATGTTTGTATCCTCTTATAAACAGGAAATCCAAACTTTGCCTGACGAATAAACTTCTAATATTTAAACAAGTTTTTAGACCGGCCATGCTTTACGCTGTGCCAATATGGTCTAGTTGCTGCGCCACAAGGAAAAAAGCACTTCAAAGGATTCAGAACAAAATTCTGAAAATGATTTTGAAGTTGCCTCCCTGGTACAGTACAACCGAAGTACATAGAATTTCGAATGTTGAGACTTTAGCACAAATGTCCAACAAAATAATTAATAATTTCAGGCAAAAATCGTTGCAATCCTCAATTGCAACGATTAATTCCCTTTATACTTAGATAAGATTTAGTTTTAGTTTTTAGTTTTAAGATATCAATTGTTATACTGACATGCAGGTTAAAAAACCTGTTTAAAATACTGAATTAGCCAAGACATGAACAATGTAAAAACACTTAGATATATATCATAACAATTAAGGCTGGTACGTTACTGCAGTAACTGGAGCACCTAAAGGGTGATACGGTCAAAATTTGGTCAATATCAACTTGACGTATTTCTTTCAATTTTGCATTTAAAAAACCTGAACACCCCTCATTTTGAAGGTGTGTGTGTGTAGAATGTTGCTCCTATTTTGATTTTGGAATTCACTCTTCAGTTGTCAAAATGCCGTCCAAGCAAGAAGAGCAGCGTATCAAAATTTTGCTCGCGCATCGCGAAAATCCGAGCTACTCGCACGCAAAGTTGGCAAAATCGCTAAAAGTTTCCAAATCAACCGTTACAAATGTAATTAAAGTGTTTGGGGAACGTTTGTCGATAGCCAGGAAGTCTGGATCGGGGGGAAATCGAAAACCGGAAGCCGCTGAGACGACAAAGAGAGTTGTCGGTAGTTTCAAGCGAAACCCTAACCTCTCTCTCCGAGATGCCGCAAATAAGCTGGGTGTATCGTCTACAACCGCGCATCGAGCCAAAAAACGAGCCGGACTATCGACTTACAAGAAGGTAGTGACTCCAAATCGCGATGATAAACAAAATACGACGGCCAAAGCGCGATCCCGGAGGCTGTACACGACGATGCTGACGAAGTTTGACTGCGTGGTAATGGACGACGAAACCTACGTCAAAGCCGACTACAAGCAGCTTCCGGGACAGGAGTTTTATACGGCAAAAGGAAGGGGAAAGGTAGCAGATGTTTTCAAGCACATGGAACTGTCAAAGTTCGCAAAGAAATATCTGGTTTGGCAAGCCATCTGTACCTGTGGCTTGAAAAGCAGCATTTTCATAGCTTCCGGGACTGTCAACCAAGAAATTTACGTGAAAGAGTGTTTGAATAAACGTCTGCTGCCTTTCCTGAAGAAACACGGTTGTTCCGTACTGTTTTGGCCGGATTTGGCATCTTGCCATTACGGTAAAAAGGCCATGGAGTGGTACGCCGCCAACAACGTGCAGGTGGTTCCCAAGGACAAGAACCCTCCCAACACGCCAGAGCTCCGCCCAATTGAGAAATACTGGGCTATTGTCAAGCGGAACCTAAAGATGACCAAAAAAACTGCTAAGGGCGAGCAGCAGTTCAAGGCAAACTGGCTTTCTGCGGCGAAGAAGGTGGACAAGGTGGCTGTACAAAATCTGATGGCAGGGGTCAAGCGTAAGGCCCGGCAATTCGGATTTGGAAAAGCGGAAGCCTAACTGAATATTTTTCCTGAATTTTATACTAATTGAACTTGAAAAAGAAATTTAATTTGATTTTTTAAATAAACGATTTCACCGATTTACACGCGTTTTCCCTTGACCAAATTTTGACCGTATCACCCTTTAGGTTAAAATGAAATGTAATTTATTTTGAATTTGGAACAAAGAGTTAAAAAAAAAAAAAGTTTCTGTTGCAAAGAAATATTTCCCTGACATTGAATGAAATTCCCTGAGATTCCCTGATTTTCTAGGTCCATAAAGGAATTTCCTGATATTCCCTGATTTCCCTGGTTTTTTTTTCAGGTAGTCGACACCCTTATGTCATTCCTGGCCTACTATGTAATGTCCTGGGCAATCAATATGACTACTTTTGATCTTGTTTTCGAATTCGAATGTAATTTGAGGGGTAGGATTGGCACGTTTCATGGTGTTTCTGATCTCAAGACCCATACTCACCGGAACATGTTCCGGCGATATCTCGAGTTGAATCGATTGGTATATGACACTAGGTCCTCCGGGCATCGGATCGAAAGTCGATTTCCCAAGCGGTATGTATACCCTTCTTAGCAACAAGGGTAAAAAATGACAAACGGCATTTCACTCTGTCACAGGAACAGTGCATCAACATCCAGCCAATTCCACGAAGAAATCGAAAACTAACTCCACTGGAATCAATCAAATCATAATCTTTCTTCCAACCAAACTTCCACGGCGACAGCGACGACATTCATGGAGCAATCGGAGGCCCTCCAATAAATCAATCTCTTCTCTTGCGCCGTGTCCCCCTGTCGTGTGCATATGGAATGCCTGTCCACCGTTTGTTGTAAATGAGACAAATCGCGCTCGGAGCTAATAGTTCAAGCCAAAACCTCGGCATCGTCGACAAAAGGTGCCGGTGAAAAATGTCGAAAATGCAACAATCCGCATCCGTCGTCTGTGTCCCACCGCACCAATCCGATCCCGTGCGAGGGAAATGAGTGAAGCTTCTAAACACAACACTCAACATCCCGACATTATAAATACGATGCGGGGTGTTGAAAATGTCAAACAAATCCACACTCGCGCCTGTGTCGTCGTCGTCGGTTGTTGCGGCCATCACAAGCCGACGTGACGAGGAGATGAGCCGCGTGAGATGAGCCAGGCCGAAAATTAGCTTTTGAGTAATTTATTCTTTGACACACCAATTTAGGCGATTTAGACTGTAAAGGAAACGACGAAAATGAGCCATTCGAAATGATGAATAGTGGTAAAAATAGCATATTTTGTTAAGATCTTTTTATATCTGTCGGTTTTTATGATTGTTTGAAGCCCTGCATTGCTCTGCTCTCGCTCTAGTGCAAGAGGAACTCGAGAGACGTGGGGAACGAGAGCGAAAAAAAATAAACATTTCAATTTTAATTTTATATCCTCTAATACGTCTTCGTCAGAAGGCGACCGGTGCGAGGCGCGTTTTTTTTTCATTCGTTTAGGAGGATTGCAAACAAGACGACTGCAGGCAGGAAGAGCTCTAGTCTCAGAATCACGAGAAACGATCATCATCGCCCCGTCATCGTCATCGTCGCCGAGATCCGTTCCGGCAGAGAAGAATGGTTCGTCGCGTTCTCGAGCGCCAAGCCGAAGAGAGTGACTTAACGCTAATGAAGCGGACTCATAAATGATTTAAGTGTTGTTTCATGTTTACCGCAGTTTGATTTTTTGACAAACTGTATTATAAAGCAGCTCGGAAGCGCTAAGTTCGCCGGGAAATCGCTTCTTTTCCCGGCGAATGGGCGCGCGTGATGGAATATGGTATCATAAAAACCTGCCGAGAGTGCTGAAAGCAGCTCATTTGTGAAAGCAGGCCAAAATAAAGGATTATGGAGAGCATCCGAGGAATGGTAAATTATACAAACAGACCCTAAGAATGTACATGTATGCCACTCGAGAACGGGTGTGATCGTCGTAGAGCGGAGGAAGAGAAATGGTTTTTATGAGCTCTTGGGTCATTTGATTGATGCTCGCAATCGTTTTCATTTTTCGTTTGATGAAGAACTTCCACGGGATTAACACCGGAAGCGACGCAGCGCGTGAGAGAGAAATTAATAAAAAAAAATCAAGACATTATAACATAGTTGATGGCGGGATTAAATGTTGTTTTCGAAGCTTCTTGCATCTTAACTGAAACGCAGTTCGTTGGATCAAAGGCATTTTTTTGAACTCGTTGATTGACTGCCCTTGCATTATTCAACTAGATATGGGACTAATTACAACACATACAGTGATTAAGCAGTGCAAATACTTACTTGCGTCTCTGTCACATTCAACAGCTTAGCCATTTCAGTTCGTTCACTGGATGAGAGATATTTCTTCACTTCGAATTGCTTTTCCAACTCGAAGATTTGCCTTCCGGTAAATGTCGTTCGGGCTTTCTTTTTCCTCCGGCTGCCTCCGTCCAGTTGACTATCATCGCCGTCGTCGAGATCTAGCACTTCAGTCCGGCTGTTCTTCTTTGCGCCCCCTAACGACGGCAGCGATGGCATCTTATGTCCACTCGTGGAGGAGGAATCCTTCAACGAATGCTGCGACTCATTTGACCCGTAAATTTCCGATTCGACGTCCGTTGAATGAGCTCGTTCTCGACTGATGGAGCGAACTGATTCCTGGGTGGTTTCTGAAAATGAAATTATTCAATTTGGTAAATTAACTTTGGAAATCAACGAGCTGCAAAATACCTTCTTCCAAGTGCTTCTCGTATACCCTTTCCACAGCCGTTGACTGTTGATGTGGCGTTGGTTTGGAAATGCATAAATCCAACGGTTGGTCGTCGTTGTCTTCTTTTGTCGCGTTGAGGCTTTGCAACAAGTATGGCACCGTGTGGTGGTTATTCGATTCGGAAACCGGTGGGGAGGGAGTGACCTTCCTGATGGGTCCTTTCCACCCGAGGATATCCATGATGGAGTGTGGTGTGGGATGCTTCGGTGGGTTGCCATACACATGAGCATGCCACTTGTTGGCGGAGCAGTTGGAGGTGAAGATGCCAAGGTTTGTACTGTGCCACGGTGAATCCTCGCCGCCATTTTGACCAACGGATGCCGCGGGGGAAGTGGCTGTGGTGTTGGCAGCTGGTGGCTGCGGGGGTGACTTGCGATCGGCAACTTGTGCAGCCTGGGTGTGGAGATCTGGAGTGTTGGTAATGCATACCTGGTTCACTTCGCGTAACTCCTCAGCCTGTGTCATTTCGGTCAACGGATGCCACGGCTGTCGCTCGGAGAGAAGTCTTTGGTCACCTATTGTTTTCTACAGTTGAACGCCGTCCGGTGAATGGTCTCCTTACATTCTATGGAGCTGGAAGATAGTTATTTTTTTCAATTGTTGAATTGTTTATAATGTAGTGTACAGTGTAGTTTTTTTTTAAATAATTTATCGGATATTTTCATTCGAAGAGTGTTCATAATGGGCATCCAGAAACTACGTCACGATTTAAAAATATTGTTCGGAGTAATATTATATTTTTTGAGTAACACCCAGTATTTACAAACTTCAGGAAACATCGAAGAGGACAAGATTATGGTATCTCTTGACTTCACAGCTGCAAGCAGTCAACCTTCGGTCAAGGTGAGAACACAACATACCGCAACTCAAGCTGACTCGTTTTTTTTTCGTTTTCCGTACTGAGTACAAATGCTACCGACGCCAGGGAAGTAACTCCCACACCTGGACCCTACCTATCGACCCATCAAATCATGCACAAAAATCGGAACGGCGTGATAAGAGATTTTATGCTTCAGAAAATCCCGGGTTCATCGACTGGGACTCGCATTTGTAGGGAAAGAGAACTATTGCAATTTGGGGGAAAATTGATTACTTCTTAACGCAAACATCGAAATAAATTACTACAACAAACTAAATTGACAAACTAATGGCATTCAAATCAGTAGCTATAAGAAATTAATCGTTCGTTATTTTATGATTTTTTTCAATTCTAAAATTTAGAAAATATCGATGTAGGGTGAAATTGATCATCCCCTCAAATGGATTGCCAGTGCATTTCTAGTAATTTTTCTTATTAAATGTGGGTTCCCTGAACTCGAATTATTTGCTTAAACCCTTGTGCGAAGAGTATTTTTTTGCAGAAATGCCAAAACAATATTTTTTAAATGCACAGTTGCGCCTAAATGTATGCAATTTCATTGTATTTAATTTCGCGAAAACCCAATGATTTCTTGATATTGGAAACATTCTACAGCAATTTATTAAATAATTCGGAATCATTATATGATCGTTTGTGTCGATGTTAATTAGACTAATGCAAAAAAGAGCTCAAGCCTGCAAATTGGGTCCAAAATTTGAACTCCGTTAGTAAGAAACTGACACGGCACAAATCATTTAAAGTTTATATGGAAACTAGCTGAGTGTGCCCGGCCTTGGTCGGGATTCAATATTAGCTTGAGCTAATGCGCCAATTAAAAAAAGCATGCTGTATTGTACGTCTTATCTAAGGGGCTACCCCCTATGACCTTCCCATGCCAAATTTGGTTCCATATGCTTGATTAGTTCTCGAGTAATGCAGAAATTTCTGTTTCATTTGTATGGGAGCCCCCCTTACAGAGGGGGGAGGGGTCTCGAACCATCATAAGAACCCTTCCCTGCCCCAAAAACCCCTGCATGGCTACATACAAATTTTCACGCCGATCGGTTCAGTAGTTTCCGCCTGAGTAACACTAATTCATTCAATCATGTTGAGTAAACTGCTTTAAAAACCAAAACCAGTCATAAGAAGGTTATTCGGCGAGTCTATAAGCACAGACAAACAGACGTAACTCTTCATTGTGTATCTTCGATCACGCATTTAACGGTTGATTTGAATATTATCAGTTTAACGAACTACTCGCCGCAGCGCTGGCATCGGATCACTTTGACGTTTCTATTTATACATTCTATAGAACTTTCATGCAATATTGTTTGCGAGTTAGGAAGCAAGCTTGTTTTCCGTGAGAAGCCTGAGAGATGTCGTTATTGAGGTCCTATGTTTTGAGATACTACGTTTTCAAGAAAAACTTTTTCAAAGAGTTACGTCTGTTTGTCTGTGCTATAAGGGTCAGACAGACAGACAGACAGAATTTCATGTTTATATATATATAGAGTACTATGGGAAAACCAAATTGTATGTTCATATTTATCTAACAATTCACAATTCACCATATTGTCCTGCGTTAAAAATGATAACTGTGCTTGTAGGCAGGCTTGCTGAAACTCCTTAAACTCACTGGAGGTATTAAAACACTCTTGTCCTGCGAGTTTTGCCAGCCCTCACCTCGAGTGAGTGGCGGCAGGGATATGGAAGAAGTAAACAAAAACTAATCGAGAGAGAGGGAGAGTGAACTTCAGCGAGAGGATGATTTGACGTGAGGTGCGCTTTTCGAGACTCCGGATGGTTTGTAAAGAGTCCCTAGTAGCACACTTGTCGCAAATCAATTGTAAATACTTATATACGACTTATTTCAGTCATAAACCAGTTGCTGTAACTTAATGTGATGAAAGTGTGCTACTCGGGGTGAGAATAAAAGCGTTTGATAGAAAACCTAAAGGTGAATGATAGCAAACCTCACTCTCATTTTACCCCCTTCGCTCACAGGCTCTGAAGCTCAGTGGAATGATTTGGCAGTAGGCATTCTACTCCTCATAAAAATGCTACGCTCGGCTCATTTCAAACTCGCGAGCGAGGTTCCATCAAGCCTGCTTGTAGGAAATTTTCCCAGCTATGGACCACAAAAAATCATGGCTACTATGTCACACTGCATAATACAGTGTTGCTCACAAAACAGCTGCTTTATCATGCCATAAGATTATCAATTTCTTGAACAATTAATAACTTAATATGACGTTTGGCTGGAAAATGATCGTCTGCAAAGTTGTAGCCAGAGCTGGCAAATGTCATTTTCAATGAAAGATCTCACGCGATATTTACAGAGATACTCCTGTCACTATCATCGGATGAGAAAACGATGATAGAGATTTTCTTCAAAATCTCATCGATTTTTTCGTCATGACAAAACGTGACAGTGTTGTGATCATCGTAATTACTAGCTCATTTATTACTTTCACAGTAACTTGTACCGAGAAAATCGTAATAATATATTCACTCAATCGATAACATACTGTCACATGCTTGAATTAATCTAAATCAGTTAGAAATGTAGATGTAAAAACCGCAATAGAATTATTCTCATGAGTGCTTGATCATTGGAAAATGACAAGAAAACGAATGATAGGTAGTTTCGTCTCGTGATAGTGAGAGGACCTGTTTTCTCATTCTCATATGACGGCGGTGATATTTACCAGCTCTGGTTGTAGCTGAAAAAATTTCATAATGATAGCCATAGAACTTTTGAACATTGCAATATGGAAAAAGGCTAGATTACAATGAGGTTAGGTTTTCCCATAATAATTTCCATATAAACTTCAAATGGTTTGGGCCGAGTCAGTTTCTTACAAAAAGTTAAAATTTTGGGAAACTAATGAGGACCCAATTCGGAACCGTTTGAGTATTGTGGAACGAAAATTTCAATTTTTCAATATAAAAACACATTTCGGATTCGGGCCGGATACGACTTCTTAAAAATTTTATGAATCGAAAACAGGTCGTGTTCGGGGTATTAATCGAAAAGTCACATGGTTCAGTTATGAGACCACCGGCAGTTTTAGAGCCAGAAAGCATTTCATTGTTTTGGGCACTGGTTGAAGAAGTAGCAGCAGCATATCTATGGGAGTTCTTCGAAATCATCGTGATGTCATGGATTCCTTTGCAACATATCGGGTGAGATCTTTCCTCTTAACTTTCATTCCATTATTATATGAAACATTAAATGCTGGATAAGGGAAGGTCCATCAGGGCACCCAATTGTAGCGAAATGAATGGGGAGAGTGGAAATGCCAACTCCCTGTCCTTAACATTTCGTGAATAGAGGGCGGGCTCTTCTCTCCACTCATTGGAGCATCCTCATGTGTTTTATGACCAGTTATATGATGATGACCAGGTTGGCAAACAAAATCGAACTGGTTTCAGTATGATCCTGTTGTTGTAAGGAGATTCTCATTCCGTGGATGCAAGTGGGCGATGTTGCCCACGGCATCACCAAAACCGTTTTTAGCCCAAACATACAATGGCAAAAATGACTCATAACTTTTGAACCACTGGGACCTAAAGTAAACACGTCTAGTTTGGTGGGTTGTCTAACAAGTTCTGAATTCGTATATTTCTCTTGTTCCTTTACATACTCAACTTCCCTTTGTGGAACTCATTCTCTTCAGAGCTCTCACTCTCCAAGTGAGGTTTAGACGAGTTCACTACAACTCCTCCTTCCTTAAGTTTGGAATACAAAATACTTTAATTGAATAAATACTTGTAAATTCAATAGCTTTTAATCCACTTAAAAAAAACTCATAAATCGAAAACAGAAGGTTCTGTCAAATATTTGAATTGCTTATTCAAAAATTTACTAAATTTGAATTGATTTAAAACAATGTTCGATACTATTAATAATAGTGAAAATCTTCTTTTCTTCGCTTCTTATGTTTTCTCTTTGATTTTCTAATCGATTCCACAGGTTGCGAAAATTGTGGTAGTTCAGTTGATTCATTCGATAGGGGTTCTTCCTCCCTGTAGATAAACGAATCAGCAGCGAAACCATAAAATTCTGGTTCTGATTCCGCATCTTCCCCGAAGTATTCTTCATCCTGGTTTCGTTTTCTTTTGCTAGTTCTAACGTTACAATCGTTTTGTTGTGCTGGTGCTGGTTCAACTAAATTCTCTCCTTGGAAAACGTCACTTCTCTTCGTTTTCCGGCGAAAATGTATTGGTGCCTTGATCTGGCGCCTATGAGCAGAAATGATCCTGCCGCCGAGGGAGACTTTTTATCCCGTCAACTAATTTTTCATCCTTGAGTGCGTTGATTTGTTCTAGCTGAGTAACTGGGCTACTAAAAGTGTTTCTCCATCCAGAGTAAAAAATGTCAAGCCATGTTCGCCCCATAAGCGGCACAAAATCGTTCTCACAACGTAGGATAATCAAATTAAGTTGTTTCGTTCTGTTTCCTAGCTGCACCTGGACTTCCGCTTTCCCAAGAACTTTAAGCTTTTTACCGTCTATCACAACTAGCTTTTTATTGCATTGTTCAATTGCTACGTTTTTAAAGTTTCTCAAGAACAGTTCCTCGGATATTACACTTTCTGCCGATCCACAATCGACCTCCATAGTCAATCTCTTTCTTTGTATAGTAGCTTCAACATAGCACGGCTCATTTATTCTATTTATTGAGGAGATCATCATGCAATTCATGCTTGTA